GATTATTTTTTAATATTTTATTGTATTGAACAGTCGAAATAATTTAGGAAAGTACCTACCCAATTGCCACGGTTGGCGGGCGGGTTGGAGGTGGCAGTTTCAGGTTTGTCAGAGAATGGTGCGATTCTCTGTATTCAAACATACTTGAGAAGCCTCGTTTAGTGGTGAGAGTATCTCGACTTTTTTTATTTGATGTGCCGACATTTATCCACTATCTCACCTGGTGGTAAGACTAGTAATAGACTAGACTAGTAATAGTGTGCATAATCTACTATATAAAAATAAGTCGGGTTTTCCTTCCTGACGCTATAACTCCAGAACGCCTGAACCGATTTCCACGGTTTTGCATTCGTTGCAAAGGTCTCCGGCTCCGTGAGGTTTATAGCAAAGAAAATTCTGAATAAAAAGTTTTCTTTAACATTTAATCACCAAACGAAATGTTACATAAAATGAGACCATCTGGTGGTGAAACGGAGTTCGCCGGGTCTGCTACGGATATTTTTTTCTCACGGTATTTTGAACGTAACATATAGTACCTTAGTCGGCTCTTTACGGCACCTAGAAAGAGGAGAAGGTTTGTGTAGGTAGCACAGAGAGTTTTTTCGTGCAGAAATGAATCCACGACATATCCGTTACCCACTAGTTGCCTTAACTACTACGCTAAGGGTACAATGTAAAGTTTCACTTCTGCATAAGTACAATTTTTTTAACTTTTTGCTGCTCGTTGGCCGAGTGGTCGCAAGTACGACAGGAAGGGGTCTCAGGATTCCCGGGTCTGCCAAAGAAATAATAGGTTTTTTATTAATCCTCAGTAGTAGCACGGAGTTTGGTATATGGCAAAAGCGGCACCCCCTATAACATAGGACTCATAACATAAATAGTGAAAACTGGGTGTAAAATTGTGCAGTGGCATTAAATGCCGTAATCTGCACATCTGCCTTCCCCTTCAGTGGCAAAGGCGTGATGTTATGTGTATTAACTTTTTCAATTTTATTACGTATAATTTTTAGTAACATCATGAAGTTTGGAATTGTAACAACTCATGCCTTTGTCCCGTAGCTGTAGACAGCACCACAGCGCCAGCGCCACCTACTACGAACTTTACGTACTTCTTTGAAAGAAAGAAAGACTGTTTATTTGTCTTCAACGTGAATCGTTTATTTGACTTTGACTTTATCTTCAACGTCCATCAGAATCATACATCTTGTCATACAAGTTCTCCAATATCATATTGATATCTGATTGATTGATATCTGTTAGGTATGTTGTCATATTAAGTCAACATGTCTATCTATTTAATCAATCGTTTTGTCGGCTTCGCAATTCATAAGTTAAAAGACCGACATTCAGATTATATTATAACGTATTTTTTAACAGTGGCATAATGTGCACCTCTGCCTACCCCTTCGGGGATAAAAGGCGTGATGTTATGTTATGTTATGTTGTATTTTTTTAAGGAGGCAAATCTACGAAGGGCTTGAAGTGGGAGGGAGTGTCAGACTCTTACTGACTAAAAACCACTCCATTTCTACTCCTGCACTTCGAGCCAGAGCCCCGGTAACCCGTTAGGTTCTCCGTGGTGGTCTGATGGTTCTTTGAGGCGCGCGCGTAACGCGACGCGCCGTACGCTCGGGTCTAGTTCTGGTCGGGCGGCGAGCCACCCATGCTCGCCGTCCGCAGGCCCGCGAAGGAGGTAAATCTTCGAATGACTTCTCCCGCCTGGGTGAGGCGACAGGGTGTGTCAGACTCTTACTGACTAAAAACCACGCCGTTCCTCCTCCTACACTGACCTGCAAGACCCGGGGCCCGGTGACCTTTTTACGATCTCCGCAGACGTATTCGACATAATTTTGATTTATTTTTGTGATGGACACTTATTGGTAGTTGTTTTTCAGGATTCAGATATGTACCCAAAGTCCTTAGTGAACTGTAGGTAAAAATTTTGTCTGACAGCAAACTCACGCTAACTGGTAAATCCCCAAGCGGTCACCGGTAACTGCTGTACACTCCATTATAAACCTTATTGCTGATATTCAGAGACTACTTTAGTATGAACAAATTTTCGATACGGTTTAAATCAGTTCGAAATTTAAATTTTGCCTGCCATGGGAAACCAACCTGAAGATGTCTCGAACGGCACTGGCAAGCAATCATAGGGACAATTTCAGATCCATGTTTTTTTTTTTCATTTTGTCTTTACATCAAGTACCTACTTGGTAACTTGTTGCTGTCGTGATTAATCGATAACATCCGTTACGTGTTCTTGCAAACGCCGGATAAATTGATTTCTTTCAAATTAGTTCAAGTAAAACAGCGTGTCTTTATTAGTCTATTTTATTTTCATATCGTAAAGCATATTAAATGTTGTAATAAAGGGAGTACTTACAAAAAGTTCAGCTCTAGTAACTGATATTTCTGGCCAAAAACACATTTAATTTAAATATTTCCCAATCTTTCAAGGAACTAAAGACGTATTACAAAACGTATGTTCATTTATTTAAGATAACGCCATCTATGATTTTCTACCGAAACCATTACAAAACGAACAGCCCTAGCTGACTAGAACCTGTTGGTGCTTTAGCAGTTCAGAAAAAAAGTAGTAGATGGCGCAGTAAGTTACGAACGTGAACTTATTTTTTTGTTCAATTTATAATCAAAATTACCTTTATAAAATGTTATCAAAGCTTCTTTATTTTAATATGAACCCTATTGTTTGCATAATAAATCAAATTCGATGTTAATAATGTCTTGTAAAACATTTTAGTTATAGGCGCTACGAAATATTTCAATATATTTTGGATAGATGGCGCTAACACAAAATTCTAGCAATTTATGAACAACAAACTTTCTAACAAGTACAACCCAGAAATATAAGTAGTTAGGTGCTTACTTTGCTTGATCTAGAAATTAAATCTAGAACATCTTGAATAGCTGTCAAAATCAGTGGACTCTCTAACGCGACCAGTATAAATAGGTACTACTTACGCAAAATATAACTGAGAAATATAAAACTAAAATAATAACACTTAAGTACCTACCATACTAGTTTCAACAACACCCTTTATTGTTCCTAAAAAGCATTCCTAGTTTAGAAAACTGCAACAAAAACAAACTCTACAGCTACTTCCAACAGAATGCCAGTAATTGTCAAAGTTTCACTGTTTACCGAGTTCCGCCGAGTACCTCCGAGTATTTCCGAGTTTCCACGAGTTGTGCCGAGCGTCGACGGTTGAATAATTAAATAAGTTGTAAAGTTTTGAGTATGTGTAGACAAGTGCGTATCTCCAGGGATTGAAAGGTTTGGGCTTAAAGATAACAGGGTAGAAAGCTTTAGGAGTTGAGGTTTGAGAAGCCTAATTGAGAACCACAGGATTTAAAGGTACTTAATACTTTTGGGTTTTATTTGTTCACATTTCGCGTTCGTGTTTCTAAATGGACGTCTTCACTTGAATTGAAAAGCGCTGAAAAATGGCTGAAACTGAGAACGCAATTGATTTAGTGAAGCGATGTGTTTTGTGAAGAGAATTTCCAGGATGAAATTATTTCTAACTAGCTTTTATCCGCGGCTTCGCTCGCGTTACAAAAGGATAAAAAGTAGCCTATGTGACATATGCTAATACATACAGCGCCATCTATACCAATACTTTCGTTTTTCCTCGGGAATGTCAATTTTTCCGGGTTAAAAAGTGCCCTATTATTTAATCCGGACTTCTAACTTTACGTCTGCAAAAATTCAAAGCAATCGGTTTAGTAGTTACGGCGTGAAAGTGGAACAAACAAACAAACAAACAAACTCACTTTCAGATTTATAATATTAGTAAGGACTAGTAAGGATAGCTGTATGCGCAACTTCATCCGCGTGGAGAACCGAAAACGTGGCCTATGTTACTTCTTAATACATCTGCCTGACATTAGTAGATGTTTATAAACTTACTAGCTACTTCCGCGCGGTTTCACACGCTCTGCTCAGCTCCTATTGGTCGTAGCGTGATGTTTTATAGCCTATAGCCATAAATGATAAATGCGCTATCCAACACAAAAAGAATTATTCAAATCAGACTTGTAGTTGCGGAGATTAGCGCGTTCAAACAAGCAAACAAACAAACTCTTCCGCTTTATATAATAAGTATAAGTATAAGATATAAGATAAGATGTGGAAAATCTGTATGTGTCACCTGTTTTAGAGTGTGAAATAAAGTTTTTCTTTCTTTCTTTCTTTCTACCTGCTAATAAAAGTCCGGTCAAAATCGGTCCAGCCATTTCAGAGACTAACCAGAACGAATAGGCAGTCTGATGGACAAAAGTTGTTAGAAATATTTTTAATCAATTACTTACGTGTGTAGTAAAAAGCGGTTTATTTGAATATACAGACACTCCAATTTTAATAAATGTAGGTACTAGATAAAGTTAATTTGGTGTCGTTGTGGAATGGTTATTTTAGGGGACAATTTTAGATTATATTTGCCTGTAGTATGGCCTTCACTAGGTAACCACATAGGGGCAAATGTATGTTAATTCCTAAAAAGGTATACGAACTTTTTTTTATTGAGGGTGGAAAATCATCCAATGACTTCTCCCGCCTTGGGTTAGGCGAGAGAGAGTGTCAGACTCTTACTGACTAAAACCACCCCGTTCGTACTCCTGCTCATCAAGCCGGAGCCCCGGCAACCAATTAGAAAAATAGAAACAATAATTTTATTTTAATAGAGTTTATTTATATATAATATAAAATACTGAAAATAAGACTAAATATTTATTTTTATATGTACACATTAAAGTTTGGCACTTTTAAATTATCTACGAAATAATAAGTTCTTCATTATTCTTTGGCGAATAAATGCAATTACTTACACAGCAATACGAAATTTAAATGATATGAAATGAATATCTTATTGAATAAAATGTAACATTTCACAGCCTGATTATTTTAAATGTAGAAATATTCTTCAATGGATATAATGACTTGTCTACCATTGATAAGACAATGTTTTCAACTCAGATTAAAAGTCGTGCTCAATAGCTGCATGGGCGCCTAATTCCGGCGTGTGATGTCCAAATTGCTTCTGGAAGTTTCCACCAGTGACTAATCTAGTGTTCTTGTCCAATTTCCAAACACCGTCTCCGGTAAGAGATACCTGTAACGAAGGGATAAAGTAATTGAAGTCAGTAATTAGGTAAAATGGCTAGGCTGCTAATAGGGTAGATGCCTAATTTTTATTTTAATGTCCGTCTGGTAGATTATTTTAAATCATTACACACGTATTTTTAATTTTCTTACGGAAACGAATACTTTCGACGATATATTGATTTGAAATGTCGCGTGACGTCACTTCTATGTACATTTTATACGTAGAAATGACGTTTTAGTTAGTCCCCACTCTTAAACTTTGATTCGTTTTAACTAAGTATTGTTTTATTATACAACAAAATTTATTATAAAAAAATACTTGTCTAATATTTTTTCATTACCTAATTTACGGCTAAATAGATTTTTAATTTTCTTACCCGGACATCATCCCTATTAAGGCATAGTTGATTTCTGTCGGTACCTACTCATGGAGTCATTCTTATGCTTGCTTCTTGTCAGCCACTAAAGAATATCCCGCAAACTGTGCATTTGGTATGTGCATGTGTGGGAGAGCCATGCTTCGGCAGCCGGTACGAATGGGCCGGCTCGACCGGAGTGATACCACGGCTTTACCGAAAACCGACATTTGCGTTGTGTTTCGTCATGTGAGTAAGGTTACTGGTCATTAGGCCAGTAATAAGGGTAATTGTACCCGCCTACCAAATCTCTCCAATGCCTAAAACCCCAACAATCATCGAATTCCTAATCCTCAAAACTCCAGTAACGCATTTATAACGCCTTTGGTGTTACGGGATTGCTTACCATCAGGTGATCTCTCTGGTCTTTTACCGATATATATTCCAAAATAACTTACGCCACTGCCTCTCCCAATTTCCTTGTGGACATCCAGGGTAGCTCTAGCGTTGTTGTTGTTCCAGTTCAGTTTGCCACCAAGAATACTGCTGTCTCCAGCTGGGCCGAGCACTCGAGAGCCATACGCCTGACCTTGCAGACGACCACGGTGGTCGTTGAATATATCCTGCTTGTAACCACCTCGACCCTATGGAAGTATAAAGAGAATATAGATTAAATATGAGTACAAGAAGGTTTATTGTTGGATGTGTAGAAATATTAATATTATTTTTCTAATTTTGAGTAGTAATTGCTTAGCATGCGACCCGCTGCATGCAGCGCTGATCTTATAAACCGTTTCGTTTCGTTTTTAAAAAAAAACGTTGCCCCACACTAGGATTATCTCCTGTGTCGTGGGTGCGTTTACAAACATACAAGTTCACATACACATGACACCCAGACCCGAAACAACAATTTGTGGATCACACAAAGTGTTGTCCCGTGCGGGAATCGAACCCGCGACACGTTGCACGGCAGCCGGTTGCCCAGCCACCGCACCAACCGTGCAGTCAGATAAATGAAAGCCTTTTTTGAATTGTCTGCTTTGAATTGTCTTTGGTTAAGGTGACACAGGTGTCATAAGAAAAACGTCTAGAGGTATTATATTATACCTACAAATTCAAATATTTTAAAGAATGCATGTTATTTCGATAACATAGTGTTGTTACTTTAATGAATATAAGTGAGGATCGACGGGTTGAAGCAATGACAATTAATTGTCGATTCTCTGTTATATAATAATTGTTGGTTTGTATTCCGAGGTTACTTAGTTTATTATTTTTAATGAAAATATTGTTATTTTATTTAAATAAAACTCTGTTGTTATAGATGAATCATATTATTTCATTGCTGTCTCAAATCCTCATCTTATAATTATAGATTATATGAAACAACACACGGGTGCCGCGTCGTGCGTACGCCTAACGCAGCGCACGGTCTCAGAAATTTTGACAATTTTTTAGCTGATATGAGAGCTACAAGTATGCATACTTAAGTGCCGATAGTACAAAACATGATCGTTATAATAATACATCAAAAAGTTAATAATACTACAGAAGCGTTCTGATGGACTCTATTCAAACAGTCGGCATAACATAATTACTAACATAAGATGAAGAAGACCTTTAAAATGTTCAAGTAAACACTAAGATAGAAATATTTTACTGCTTATCTTTTTTTACCTTTCAAAAGAGTATCAAGTTCATGAAAGTAAATAAATAAATGAAAACTACTTACAAAAAGACCAGAATCAGAACTGCCAAGTGTTCCAAAGATCCTTCCCCTGCCAGCGTTGCGTTCAAAGTTGAAGAACCTGGTCTCATCATTCGTTGGGAGCCGGTTGACTTGAGCGCACACACACGCCAGGACAGCAGCGAAACACAGGAGAATTGAGGACTGCATGGTGATCTGGAACAAAGGAAAAAAGGTACAATTAAGTGACGATTGTGAAAATAAAAGAATATCAAAAGATCAAATATCAAAAACTAAAATTAGGAAAGGAAATAATTTTCCTTAATAAGTAAGTATTTTTATGGGATAAGCCGGTAAACGAGTAGACGGGTCGCCTGATGGTAAGCAATCGGCGTCGCCCATCATCACCAGGTATTTGGTTATAATATTACAATTTTAAAAATTTTTACCTATAGCAAAAAAAGATTAAATGACGTATTGTGCAAATAATAGCCATATAACATTAATGTTGAAGCACATGACATATCATCACGCCTTTTATCCCCGAAGGCGTAGGCAGAAGTGCACATTATGCCACTGTACTTAACACCCACTTTTCACTATTGTGTTTTATGTCCTATGTTATAGGGGGTGAGTCTATTGCCATATACCGGGCACAATTCCAGACTCCGTGCTACTATGAAGATTAAAAAAAACCTAGTAATACTTTGCCCGACCCGGGAATCGAATCCGAGACCCTTCGCCTGGTAGTCGCACTTGCGATCACTCAGCCAATGAGGCAGTCAGTATTTTTGAAGCTTCTGAGCTAATAATCTGAAGTCTATTGCAATCATATTAAACAAATGAATCCCAAATTTCTTATTAATAATACCGAAAATCGAAAACTAGCCAATAATTAAAAAAAAATTACCTTGATACCTCAACTACTTCTCGTCTCAAAACACACTTGCAAACTATACGACTTCTATCTCGACCTCCATATTTTATACAACATCTTAGTAAATCGAGGTAAATTCCCGAAGGTGGTGAGAAAAGGGGACTTACTTACCAACTAATGTTTTGTTAACCGAGATATTAAGTAACGGAACAGGATAATACGGTAGATGCCTATTTTTATTTTAATGTCCGTCTGGTAGATTATTTTAAATCATTAGACACGTATTTTTTTTTCTTATAGAAACGAATACTTTCGGCGATAATATATCGTCGATTTAAAATGTCGCGTGACGTCACTTCTATGTACATTTTATGCATAGAAATGACGTTTTAGCCCCCACTCCTAAACTTTGATTCGTTTTATCTAAGTATTGTTTTATTATACTTACAACAAAACAAAAAAAAATTAATTTTCATACCCTGTCATCATCCCAATTGCTGTTATAAATCTAGGTTCACCAAATTTGTTAATAGACAGTGAGATGGTAAATAGTGCATGACGTAGAATAAGATAAAGTAGATATAGTTACACGGCAACAAACCCAAAAATCTGGTTAAAAAATTTTGTCTGTCTGTCTGTATGTATATTCACGCACAACGTAAAAACTATTAGCCCGATTTTGATAAAACTTGGTATGATTATACTTTAATATCCCGGGCACAATACTGGGTACTTTTATCTCGAAAAAGTGTATACACGAAAAAACAAACTAATTAAGTTTGTTTTGCTCAACGCGGCCGGTTTTATGCGGCTCAATCCTTAGACACAGTTACTGTACCAAACGCAAATATAAGTTTTACGAATGTTAGGTTGGCCGCAGTTGACTTTTTTTTTAAGGGGGGAAAATCATCGAATGACTGCTCCCGCCTGGGTGAGGCGGGAGGGAGTGTCAGACTCTTACTGACTAAAAACCACCCCGTTTTTTCTCCTGCACGTCGAGCCGGAGACCCGGTTACCCGTTAGGTTCTCCGCGACTCCGAATCGGCATCGGTCCTATTGGGCCCCATCGCTGTAACTATAGGGCCGATATGGTTGAAATTAGCTTAAATCGATATTATGTATAAATGTGAAAATATGTAAAGTATGTGGGTTTGTGTGTGTTTGTTACTCAGTCGTATAAAAAATAGTTTAACAATATCAGAAGGAATCCCCTATTTCCAATTAAGACGTCATGTCATTAAGATTTGAGTCTTATCACAATGAGATAAGGTCATAAACCTCTGCTGTCAACATCTCAGCAGATTGCAATGTAAACAAAAAAAAATCGTGTAACAGTTTTGCGAGTAATTACGACCGAGGTCAATTGAGGTCATCTGTCTGATACGAGGGGATTAACTTATATGCATAACATAATATTGACTGTGAAATATACCTATTGTCCTAGCTTCTGCGAGACTTCGTACGCGCAATCCCGTTTTCTCCCGTTTCCGTGGGATTTTCAGGACTTTTTCTGTGTGTCTTAAGAACCTTCTCCTATTACTAGTATCCTTACTTATATTATAAATCGGAAAGTGAGTTTGTTTGTTTGTTTGTTTGTTCCGACTTCACGCCGTAACTACTAAACCGATTGCATTGAATTTTTGCAGACGTAAAGTTAGTAGTCTGTATTAAATAATAGGGTACTTTTTATCCCGAAAAAATTTGATATACCCGAGGGAAAACAAAAGTATTGGTATAGATGGCGCTGTATGTATTGGTATATGTCACATAGGCTACTTTTTATCCTTTTGTGACGCGAGCGAAGCCGCGGGTAATATTAGAATAAACAGCAAAAAAGAATTAGACCAAGAGAAAAAGGGAGATAGATGAACAAACAAAAATCTTGCCCCGTTGGTAGTACGAGAGAGCACAAGTGCGATTGCTAGCAATGGAATCTCAAGTTCGGTTCCCGGAATGGATAGAAATATTAAGAGTTTACAATGTTTTTAATTAAAATTTGACAATAGGTTCCTTTTATTATATCGACCCGAATAATATGTAATATGCATGTGTTATACATATAAACCTTCCTTGAGAATCACTCTATCTATTAAAAAAAACCGCATCAAAATCCGTTGCGTAGTTTTAAAAATCTAAGCATACATAGGGACAGACAGACGGCGGGTAGCGGGCTTTGTTTTATACTATGTAGTGATTGAAACTGAGAGACTACGCCTGCAAAGATCGTCAACAAATAATTAGAATATTTTATGTGACTCAATCCACGATAATAGTTAGACAAAGACACTAATCCTGGAATACTGAAACGTTACTCAATTTTAAGTCGTGCTTAAATATCGTGCCATCTCTGTCAGTTTACTAAGAATTTGTAGAGATAGAACTATACTTAAGCGCGACTTAAAATTGATTAACGTTTTATTCAGTATTCGGGCATAAATAACCAATATTTCCTAAATATAAATAGGTACTAAAATAATTCTTTTACAAACTATGTTTCAAAAACCGACTTCAATACTCTCTTGTTTGAAGTCCGTTAATTAGTTACACCTTCTCCTAAGTGTAACAAACGAAATGCGATGGCGACCTCTCGCGTCCGGCCCTAGTGTGGGTCATGATGCGGAGCGAGGGGGACTGGGGTGCCGTCTTCTACTTTTGCGAAGCAGTCATGCTAGCTAAGGAGGAGGCGGGGCGCGTGAGGCAGCGAAGCGTTGCCTCCTTGCAACCCAGCCATCGCCAAATCCACTCCGGGAGTCGCGGATCGCGGGTCGATCTCCGGCCACAGTAAACGCGAGCCTGCGGACGGCGAGCATGGGTGGCTCGCCGCCCGACCAGAACCAGACCCGAGCTCACGGCGCGTTGCGTTCTATGCGCGCCTCAAAGAGCTATCACACCTTTACGGATAAGGCCCAATAGGGTTGATGCCGATTCAGAGCCGCGGAGAACTTAACGGGTTACCGGGGCTCGCTCGAAGTGAAGGAGTAGGAACGGGTGGTTTTTAGTCAGTAAGAGCCTGACACATCCCGCCTCACCCAGGCGGGAGAAGTAATTCGATGATTTTCACCCCTTAAAAAAAAGTGTAATAAATACTTTACTGAAACTACATCAAAATCGGTTCAGCCAACCGCGAGGTTTTCGACTACAAACACACAAACACGTCACACTGTGAACCTCCATTTTTTTCTTTTTGAAATCAGTTATTTTTTACAATGACTTCTAAGGCACACGGTCATGGCCAAATGATAACACGGGGAATCACTTTGTAAAATACCACAACATAAACATATAGTCCAGTTTAACTATAGCTCTCAATGTATGTAAGTTTTATAGAATGAACGGTCATATTATACTGGTGACTTCAATGACACATCTGACAAAATTTGAAAAAGACAACTGCACATTACGGCAGTGTTTTCCAGTATAAGAAGACCTCTCACTGTAAGGCTATTTCACACAATGCACAGCCAAGTTATACTGGTACTAATAGTCCATTATGCGTTTGCACCAAAACATTTCGTTTTGCCGAAATGAATTATAATATTAATAACAGACTGTTCAAACTATTTAGTTTTAATGACACATTTTCCTTGTTTTATATTTAACTTTTGTATTAGTTGTTTCATTTCGTTGATGTTTCAAAAGTACCCAATTACGGTTTGATTGAAATAAATGCTTTGACTTTGATTTTGACTTCGACATTATATTTGTTTTTGTAAATTTATTCAAGAAAATTGTACTTTGTGTTAACTGCACGGTTGGCGCGATGGTTGGGCAACTGGCTTTTTTTTTTTTTTTTTTTTTTTATAATTGATGGGGCGACGTTTGACCACTATCTCACCTGTTGGTAAGCGATGATGCGGTCTACGTTGGAGCACGTCGTCCCATAAGCAACCTATTCACTCGGGCCTTGAAGACTCCCAGGTTATACCCTTCAGGAAATACAGACTCTGGCAAAGAATTCCACTCTTTAGCAGTACGCACAAGGAAGCTTGAAGCAAAGCGCTTCGTGCGTGTGGGCGGAACATCTACCATGAATCGGTGACGCTTCGCGGATTGTCTTGTGGTACGATGATGGAAAGGACTAGGGGGAATCAAGTTGTGCAATTCCCCCGCACACTCCCCGAAATGTATCCGGTAGAAAACCGAAAGGCTTGCAACCTTACGCCTGTGTTCGAGGCTTTGAAGCCGAGCCTTCACAAGCGCATCATCGTCGATGAGCCTCCTGGCACGCCTCTCAATGTGCTCTAACGCGTCCAGCTGATATTTAGCCGAGCCGTCCCAAAGATGAGAGCAGTACTCCATACAGGACCGAACCTGTGCTTGGTACAGGCTCAGC